AGGGTTGTTGATCAAAACCCAATGACAGTGGGTAACATAACTTTCCTGACTTCATGGCGTGTTTGTTCAAAAGTCAGGTCATTAAATGCATTAAAAAATGTTGGAAGGTACAAGGCAGACATTTTATTAAGGATTTATCTTCTTTTTTTTTAATGTTAAGCATAAATTATACTTCTCTGGTGAATAAAATTCTACTACCAGGGTATAGTTTCATTTTGCCTTCAAGCAACATAGGTTTTGTATTTCTCTTTTTTTATTTATCTTGTTATTATTGTTCACCAGCTATTACAATTTTTTATGTGAAATTTATACAACCTGTTTCTGATATGGCTTTTAGCCAACACTGTATTTGATTGATTTTTTGATTAGGTTTTCTCTAAGTTTTAATTTATATATATTCTCTTCTACTTTTTTTTTATCTTTTCTTCATTTACTACTATATCATTTTGAAATGGCCTTTGTGCAGAAATTATAAAACGCCTATTACATTCCGTTGTTAGGATAAAATGTCAACTATCCACCATCAGGTTTCTTACGTTTTGCCTTAAGCAGTATAATTTTTGTATTTTTCTTCTACTTTTTGTTCATGTTCTTATTGTTCACATACTACTATAACTTGTTGAAATGGTTTTGTGTCGAAATTATAAAACGCCTATTACATTTCGCTGTTAGGGTAACATGTCAACTATTCACCATCAGGTTTCTTGCGTTTTGCCTTAAGCAGTATAATTTTTGTACTTTTCTTCTACTTTTTTGTTCTTGTTCTTATTGTTCATATACTACTATAACTTTTTGAAATGGTTTTGTGTGGAAATTATAAAACGCCTATTACATTTCTCTGTTAGGATAACATGTCAACTATCCATCATCAGGTTTCTTGCTTTTTGCCATAAGTAGTATCAGTTTTGTATTTTTCTACTACTTTTTTGTTCTTGTTCTTATTGTTCACATACTACAATAATGGAACTACAATTACAATTACGAACAATAAGGAAATGGTATGTCCTTCCCACTTGTCCGTTTTACATTTTTGTTCTTGTTGTGGTTTTTCAAATAGTACTATAACTTTTCGAAATTATTAAAGTCCGTCCCATTTGGTTGTTGGATAGTACGTCTACTGTCCACCACCAGATATTCATGAGTTTTGCCTTAAGCAGTAAAGTTAGGTTTTTTTTCTACTTTTTTCTTGTTTCTTGTTGCTCACATAGTTCTATATCTTTTTGAAATGGTTTTGTGTGTTAATTATAAACCGTTCTTCCCATTTGGCTGTTAGGATGACTCGTCAGCTACCACCAGAATGTAATTGCTTCCAGACTTGAGCTTGGTTGAAATATTTGTATATGAAATCATATAAGGAAGTTACTTAAATTTTTATTCTTCCTTTCCTGCAACTCTAGAGGCCATTAAAGTAACGGTCGTCACGCCACTTAAAAACTCTAAGACTTATCTATTTTGATATTTATTGCATAATTTATAATGGTCTCTTTGTTCATTTGTCTAAGTACATATAGTCACTGTAAAATCTCGGTGAAAATCGTTTAATCGATTTGTCCAGGGCGCGATAACACGTCGATAGACGGAATAAGATTCGATTTACCTGGGTTCAATAAACATACATAAGATGGAGAAAGAGAAAAAATAGATGAGAGAAAGAAGAAGATGTTCCATGAACAACATAACCTCCTCAAAATTATGGAGTTTCTAGTTTGTTTGTTTAACTACATTTAAAACTTACTTAAACCCAGTAAAACATCGATAAATCGAAAACATAATTTAATCGATTCTACCAAAATTCGATTTAACGGCAATAAACGGAATAAGATTCGATTTATCCAGAGTTTATAAACATACATAGGGCAGAAAGTCATAAATAGAAAGGTAAAGAAAGAAAGACCGAGATAGAGAGTGGGTGAGGGAGTGTTGAGAAAATGAGAGCATGCATAACCTCTTCAAACCTCTACACCTCATCTAGTTTGATATCATTATCATGGAGAAAGACGATTTAAGAAATACTAAAACATGTACGATGCTTCTTAAAGTCGTTTGGTTTCAATACATCTACAGCTAAAAACAGTAAAACATTGGTTAATCGATTGGTTCAAGGATCGATTTAAAGACCTGTATAGGTTAACATTCGATTTATCAAGGATAATGTTTTTTTACATAATTTTCATTTATGTAGGGTTGTAAATAGCAAAATTTTAGTCGTTACTTAAAGGTATTAATATGTTCATTTTTTCTTGTGATTTTCTTGGGTTTAACATTTTAATCTTGTAAACTGTAGGATCCAATATAAATTTTAAATTATAATGCTTGTCAGTTTAACCAGGTTTTATTTCCTGACGTTCTACTCGTCAATTTTCCATCCTCGTTCCTTTCTAGAATACCATAAAAAATCTCTTCACAGGTCCGTGTGTATCGCGGGTTTACGAGGTTTTCTCGTCAAACGAGTAGACACTGGGCAAGATAGACCATTAGTGTGCAAAAGCAATTTTTGTAAAATTACAACAAAAAAACGCCATCTTGGGATAAAGAGATAATAATAGATCAGTGATGGTATTTCAGCCTCTCTGGCATACTAATGTTGCTAATTTTGAGTGAAGAATGAACTATTCAAAAAACACCAGGAGCACCAATTACTTAATTAACGAGGGAGTAGGAAATGCAATGGGATTGAAGGTGTCTAAGTCGTTATCTCACATTAGTCTAATCGGCCCTGAAGATTATATTGGTTGTACAACCAGTTGAACCGAAGGCGTCGGCCCATTAGAAGACGTTTTCAGCAATATCGCCTTTGATAATCCCACCTTGCTCATCCGACGAGAACCGGAAACCACTGGCCCAGTTTCGACGAAGGAGAGAGCTGTGAGGCCGGTTCCATTCTCCATTCGGAACCAACGGGTCGCAGTGTGAAGTCTCGCTTTTTTGAGAGATTGTCTTATTTTACTCGAAAGATATAAAAATAAAATCTAGCTTTAGTTCTCTGTTGTAGAAAGAGCACGCTGTGTTGTATTAAAGAAGAGATAAACTAGCGGCCCGAACACACTTGAGTTAATCGAAGCCGGAAGCTGATAGTAACTTCTTTAGAATTCATGGTCATGATCATGGGCTCCAACGATTGTACAAATACAACATCTTTGTGGCTTTCATTTAAAATTTTACGTTTTAATTTTTTGACATTTTCCTAAATGTTCACATAAAATAGAAATTGCGAGATTGGCTATCTTCTGTCAGACCAAAAAGACAAAAAAATGATCCCAATACCAAGCTACACAACAAAAACTTGCCATGTTTGTAACAATATTAATAAAAAATTTCAGATATCAATTTCAAGATGAATTTTTTTTTAAATTGACTATAAAAGGGAAGTAGTACATAGTATTCGTGTATTGCCGCAGTTTTATTGGACTTGAGCAACTTTTGAGCTTGTATATTACATGTTATTGTTATGTTAGAAGTTTCATGTGTGCTCATGAATTCGATTATGTTTTTTCTAAATCGATGACGTACAAAACTGATTAGAATAGGGCAGACCAGGATGATCGGAGAGTATCAAAGTGTGGACCTTTTGTTGCAATTGAAACATTTTTTTTTTTTATATGGAGCTTTTTTCTGTATAATGAAATTTATAAAATTGGTACAAGTTTGTTAAATACTAAAGTAAAAATAGACTAGCTTTAAAAATCGCAATTCTTTTTCTTCATAATTGAAAATTGAAAAAAATTTGTCTGTTGGCACATCGGAAGTTCACTATGTGTTGTACATGTTTATACAGATTTAAACATCGAGGACTTTTTCCGTTTAGATTGACTTTATCTCAACTTTATATTTGAAATTTTCTCTTGTAAAACTTTGTGTTAAACTTATTATGTTTGTAAATTGTTAATTGTATTGTATTCCTTCTACAATGTTTACTGATGAAGACTACAATAAGCCCGTAACGGTGCCCAAAGTAAAAACAAAGTCATGAACTTCTGAGTTGTTCATTCTCTGGCCGCCACCCTGACCCCCTCCAATCGCGCAAAGCTTCTTTATTTTGGTATTTTCCGATTATTCCAATACGCTGGACGCACTGACATATTAAAACAAACCTCAAATTAGGATGGTGAAATGCCGAAATGAGTCTAAAGCCTTGTTCCCACGACGTGTGGCTTGGCGAGCCAGGTCTGAAGTTTGTCATACCTGACGCCGTGGGAACGTAAAGTCCCGTTATTGCTCGAGATGGATCGTCTTTTCCCGTGTATTGTCGGTAAATACACTCCCACATCAAAGGCTTGGGGCTCGACGTATGACAAGCCTCAGTACGGCTCGAACACACGTACCCAAGATCTGTTGTGGTTTGTATTCTGAACTGAATTCATTTTTCAACATCTAAAACTCAAACGCTGTACTAGATAGTTTAAAGAGACTAGTTTAAAGATCAACATCTTTAAGTCAAAACTGACATCAAAAATTTTACGAAATAGGTGACTAGTGGCCGCTCGATATTCGCCAAGGAATACGACAGCCGCCAGATCTCAAATCTGTGAGTACGCTCGTCAAGCCTCAGGCCAACAATAACAACAACATGATCGACATGATTGGGAACAAGGTTTTATAGGTAAAACCAGCGAAAATAGGCGGACTGAAATAATCGGAAACACCCAAACTAAAGAACCTTTTGACAGGGTTCGAAAATATTTAGTTCATCACCCCGTTGGCCTCAACAGTAAATCTCACAATTTAAGTTTACCTAGGTTAAAACACTAAAAAACAATCGTGTCTCAAGAATCACTATTATCCCCGGGGGTTTAAGGGCCTAATCGTGACCTCGTTATTCGGTAGGATCAAATCCCTAGTCGTTGCAACCGCGTCGCTTGCTTGATCAAATTCCAGCGATTCAGTAGGTCGCGGACCGGCCTGCTTCGTTGAAAAGTATCCCAACGTGCTTCCTGCGAGAGAGGGGGATCATCAAAGCCTTCCGAGAAGAGATGAAATCATTGAAACATCCTGAGTCAACAAGGCAGGAGCAAGGATTTCTCGATGCACCAGTCTCAAGTCTGAAGCCAGGGACCGTTTCGAAAAAGAAACGGCTCAAACGTACTTCATATCTGATCGTCTCTCCTGTCTAATAATTGGTATATTTTCAGATTTTTCTTATCTTTTCTAAACATTTTCTGGGAAAATATCAAGACAATCTTTTTATCTGTCCGTTGTTTCCTATTTCCAAGCTTCCTTCTGTCAGTTTAAAGCTGTGTTTTTACTTTAACTGCTATTAAATCAAATATGGTAATTATTTTTTTTATAAATTTAAATAGTGAAGAATAAAGACAGATAAAACTAGTTATAAAAACCGGATTAAACCTCGAGGAGAAGAACGTCCCGGTTTTCTCCTCTGGGTTGTTGAAGCCGAATAAACCTGTAAAATGTCTGGGTTAACTAATTACACATTAATTAAATTTTTATTAGCTTATTGTTAGTTTAGCCTTTTTAAAAACTTCTCTTAGTTGATTGATTGAGAAAGTTTCTCTCTTGCTGATGAATCTTTAGGAAAGCCAATGACTGCCAAAATTAATTCTTTCTATGCTTTCAAAATTCAAATACAATATTAAAGTATTTGGAAACTGCATAGGAAACAGTCATAAACGGACGTACATTGCAATTTCTTTAGCAGACAACAAAAAAGACGCTTAATTTTATCCGGTTTGAAGTGAAACAAGACAGTTCTTTTAAACGTTTGCAATTTACGACAACCTTTCAAGCGATAATAAGATTGATCCGCAAAAGAAGGATCATCATAACCCGACTTAGAATTGGCCACACGACACACGGACGCTAACTTTTGGGCAAAGCCGTGTTCGAAAGGCAAAGGAAAGTTGCCTAATGTGCGAATGGGTTTGGATCTAGGAATTGTATACGTCGGTGCTGAATTGATAGCTGTTGACAGCACCTAGAGCCCAACCTTGGTTTCTGGACGACCGTCGTCTGCCGATAATTCATTGGAAAGGTGGACTGCGAGAATTGATAAGCTCAACTCTGTTCATATATGTATGTGTATACATGTACAGATTACGGCATATATAAATCCAATAATAATAATAAGACGAAAATAAATAGTGCTTAAATAAATAAGTATGGTTTCCTCTTTGATAACACTAGATTTCATAACTTTTTTTAGTTAAAAATTGTATTTTTGGCAACCTTCAGTTGTGTCTTGGTGTTACAGTTTAATTATAGAATATTTTCCAAAAAACAAATTAGTAGTAGTTAGTATTTAAACAATACACATTTTGAGATTTAACCTTTCTTTTTACGCCGAGATATACATTTTCAAAAAGGGTTCTCCTTTATTGTAAAATGGAAAGTGTTATGGAGTGAACCTTCTTGAATAGAAATGAGCAGAATGAGTCGATTTATAATCATCAAGCATTTTATTGGTTTAACCTAAGATTCCTTTGTTTCTTTTATTTGGGTTCGGCTGAAAAATTAACAAAAATATAAATAAACTCGTTAAGAACTTGCGCGTTGACTTAATCCAGTTGCTGACGTGTCAAACCATTTTTTTTAATTAATCCCTTTTGTGAAAGTTATTAAATTTGAAGAAAACGGTACAATCCACTTGGTTTAACGAACCGTCTTGATTTTAATTATGAGCCAATTACAATGGGCAAAGAGCGTGGATAGCCTCGCGAGGATCGCTTTATCTAGCTTTCTTTCACCTCCCTCGCCTGACAACTTGCCAAACCAATTTTTTATTATGTACGGGCTTTAATTAACGATAAAGCAAGAAAAACGCTCTTAATGTGTCAAAAAAGAAAATGAAGGTAAAAGATTTCGGTTTGTTTCAATCAAATCCAATTTTGTTTAATTACAGCTACAAATTTGTTCCATTAAGCTTTTTTTATTATATATTTTAAAACATAAATAGTTCTACTATTAGAAATGATTTGAGGTGGAGTGAATATGGTAGTTCACTTTTCGGAAAAGATAGTTCTACCTCTGTGAGCAGAAATATTTTTACCAAAACTTGAAAAAAAACTGATCTATTTTCTTAAATTCCTTTGTATTGCAATAATGTAAGTACATGATACATTTATTGTTTATGTTTGTCATATTCCAAACCCTGGTTAACAATTCAAAGTCATCTAAGCTCCCCTAATTAATTTTTAAAAACACCTAATTCAATTATGGTATTTTACATGTTCAACTAAATTAATTTATTTAACAATAATAAAACATTAAATTCAGAAACAAAGGTATATATTCTGTAGCATCTATTTTTGTATTTATTTGAGTTCTAATGTTTGCTCTTGTAGTATTCATACATCCGAACTTTTATTTAACTAGCGGAAAATAAATTTATAATTATTTTTTCTTAATCGATCAAGAATTTTTATATTCTTGCTTTTATTTTTTGGCTCATTGGGTCGAAAAAGACAGACTACAAAGTTTTTACGTTGTAATACTGTTACGATTATCGATGTATATTGGTGATTATTAAATTATTAATATATTTAGCAATTTTGACTAGTTAATTGAACAAAAAATACTTTTTAATGTTAATTTATCAAATGATGATCTATTTTGTATTGATTGCTAATCTCCTGTTTTTGTGTTTCTTTAATAAGTTTTAGCAAGTCAATTTTTTGTAATCATTTATAAAATAGAAAGAACTTTAAAAGAAAAAGGAACTAGATCATGTAGTATTTTATTGTAATATCTATATTCGAATAATGAAATTACGATGTTAATATGCTGATGCTTTAGTTTTAAAATTTGCCTTAAACATTTTTAAGGTTCTTTTCGTTAACTTTCTTCGGTTTAATTATCCCAGCCCCGTTTCTGTCTATTTAATAAAAATAATTCAAGACTAGTATGCGATGATAATTTTGTTTAAATCTCCTTATCGATTATGAGATTATTGTACAACAGGAAGGAAGTGACCCCCAGACGATACAATCTCCCATTTCGATCCCGTTTCGTTCCGGTTCACGTGCTTTCTTAAAGATAAAACCTCGGAAAGAAAAGAATAGACAGATTGGTTCTCTCAGGGCAAAGGCAGTAAGTGGCATAACTTCATAGGCTGAGATAAAAATCAGAAGGAAATGAAATATGCACCCCTTTTTCCGTGCGAAGAGAAAAGTTTTTTTTCCCTCGGAAGGAAAATCTTTTTCTAGATTGCATTTAACTACTTTTGACGACGTTTTGAGACGTTGGCAGTTGGAAATGATGATGTTTACTTCATCTTTGTAAGGCATGTGCTCGATGAAAGATAGCGAGGGTCAAATAATGACCAGTTCAAACATATTTGAACTAATATTGATGCAAGATTGCAGAATTGGAATAATTTATTAAATTACTGGAATCAATTGGATAAGAACTGTTTTCGAAAAAAAGGGGTGCGGTCAAATCTTCCCATGTGTCAAATGTCAGTGGTAGTCATTAACGGTTCGCTGACGGTTTGCGGTACCTGATGAAACATAGATCGATATCTAATGAATTTGCAGAAACCCGTGTCTGGTTGTTTTTGACCTTTATTGCGGTTAACGGCACATGATATCTGGTTCGAGAGACTCGGACCTAGCGGACCAGTCTTAAATAAATAATTGCACCAGGAACCCGTCCCGTACCACGGGGCACCCGGCCAGCTTTTTCACGTGGGACGTGGTACCAGAGATTCGGGCACAGAAAGAAGGCGAGCTTCGGCTTGAAGGGCAAGGCCGACCATCGGGAAATAACTAGGTCAACGACATAAACCTCTTTCATTCCCGACTCTTTCTGGAAGCCCTTTTTTCCCGCAAGTTTACATGAAACAATAACGTCTTGAGAACAGGAGATATCGGATTGTTTATTACTGTAATGTATTCATTTTTATAAGTACGGTCAACGTTTTAATATATAAGTCTGTAATTTCTTATTGTTCTCACAAGGAATACCTTTTTTCCTTCCATTTATCAATATAAACAATCTGAGCGAGAGAAAACAAAGCCTAGACTCTGGAGAGAGAGAGAGAGAGAGAGAGAGAGAGAGAGAGAGAAATAATGAAAAAGAGGGAGTGAGTAGGTGAGTAAGTGAGGGAGAACAAATAATAAATAGATAGACAGAAACGCAGTGAGGGGAGAGAGAGATAGGCCGGCAGAAATAATGAAAAAGAGAGAGTGAGTAGGTGATTAAGTGAGGGAGAACAAATAATAAACAGATAGACAGACAGACAGTGAGGAGAGAGAGAGAGAGAGAGAGAGAGAGAGAGAGAGAGAGAGGAAAGGGAGAGGGACAAAGAAATATACACAAATGGACAAACAGAGAGTATATGGAATATATGGAGATAGAAAAGAAGAAAGAGACAGACAGAGGAACAGACTCAGATGAGGAAAGAGAGGGAAAGTGTGAGAGAACAAACAGATAGATAGGCACGATAAAGAGAGAGGTGTAAGGGAGAGAGACATTAAACGGATTCTGTTTTCTGACAACCAATATTTACCATCGGGTTTGTTTAAGCACCAATTACCGAACAAAGCATCTCGCTCTTCCATCCCGGGCAAGACGTGATCGTCCCAACTTAATAATAACACAAAGTCGCTGGACGGCTAAGTCCAAAATGTTTTTAATCGTGGGAAGCTCAGAAACCTTCCCATTATTGACAAAAAGAAATTTATTGCGGTTTCCGGTAAGAAAGGAAACTATTTCGAAAATTGTAGTTTACAGTAAATACTTTTAAAATGTATGTCGGATCCAGTTCAGGAAAGTGATAATCCTGGATCTTCAAACGATAAATCAAAGGTACCAACACACCCCTCCACATTTTGACTTATTGGCAGAATAACACACACAGACCAACTAATGAATATTACCAAGAGTAGGCCGGCAGACGAAAAAATTGTACAGATCTCCCCCTTACTTTTACGCGTTTCTTACTCTGTTTCCATCTTAAACGGATATCAGCTGGTTAAGTAGCTGAAGAGCTTCCCCTCGGCCCCTAGGGCCATTAGGGCTTAATCGCTTGCCCACTCGGCCGCCCTTGACGTTGGATGCGCCGAGTTTCGCCCTTGGGTTCAACGTGCCACAAGGGGAGGCGCCTTGAGGAGGGCGGATCACGTGACTATATTGATCTCACCCCTGTTGCTTAGCGACCCTCGGCCCAGCCCGAGCCGCACGTGATCCAGGAGTACTCGTCGATATGTATGGTTGATTGGACAAACCGTTCCAAAACGTAAAAGAGGAATTCAATTATTATGAACATTCAAGATGAGGTTTCACTTAACCCAAGATCCCGCTCTGTTAGGTAACGCGTCAAAACAGCAAAAACTTTGAAAAAAATCGTCTCAAAATGGAAACTTCAAAATTTTAGTTAGTCCATACTACACCACAGCTAGGGGAAAAATAGCTTTTGTCATATTGCGATAACAACTTTTATCCATCCCGTTTATCTATCGTTTTCCTCTTTCCTGTTTCGGCAAAGATAATTCCTTTCTATTTGACATATTTTTTCCAATATCAAGTTTCATGAAAAAATTCTGTTTAAATCTACGACTAGTTCAGGTCATCCTGACCTGGATCCTTGCCTCTGACCAACAGGCCTTACTCTGAACAAACATTCTGGAATAATGCCAAGCTCTCTCGGCTTATAAGTCCCTGGTAATCTTGACGTTAGATACTTTATTACGTGACCATGGCAGTACTATAAACGCACTGTATAACAGTACATACCACATAGTAACTACCGTTTGCCTTTGCACACATGATATTTTAACCACTTGTATGAAAAAAAGTTCTTGCTCTTATTCTCAATTGTTATAAAACTCCACGAAATTCCCTAAAAAAGACTTAGATTCTTTTCTTCGAGTAACGCTTAACTTCCCTAAGCCTAAAGCACAAATACAATATATACAAACGGCACGAAATAACATTTTTATATTTAAATAGTTGTTTGTTTTAAAGTTGGTTTAAATTAATTAATTAGTTTATTAAATACACTTGATTGAACATTAACTTCACCTTTGATATCCGAGGGACTTAGAGTAACGATTTTATGTTTAGCTGGATCGTCCCCGATCATCCTGGTCCGCGTATTATCGCTGTGTTTGCCCGAAGGATGCGTTTCGCCCACCTACAGTTGATCAGCCTGCCATAGCAGGTCCGATAGTATCGTATCTTAGTAAAAAAGACACGAAGCGAAACAACAAGCAGACCAATCACTGAAGGTTATGTCTGACGAGCAAAACCAGCGATTCCCAGATCAGGATGTCGAAGGTTCACCACGTTAACACAATAGTTCACTATTTTATCTTTATCGGTCCATGGGGGGGTCAGCTGTCATATTAAAGAGGGTGTCTACAACTTCATCCCTAGGTTCAAAACAAAGTTACAAACTGGCTTTTACTTGAAATACAATTATGATAAACTCGTATGATTATTCTCGAACTGAATTGATATTTCAGACAGTTCAAAATAGAAAGGGAATCCATTTCTGGAGGTATAAAAGTGTAATAAGGCCGTTCAGTTTCAAGAAGCGTCGCTTCGTGCGTTCGTGACAAGATTTAACTATTGTTCTCTTTCGTCAAGTTGGTCAAAGACCAGGGGTCGAGATTGTTAAAAACTGTGCGAGATTTATTCCTTTCTCCAATATATTTCCCATTAGTTCCTCCAATAATATAAAACATTGGGATGATCTGGAATGAATTAAATATTCTTAACATTTACCAATGTTTTCTCCAGTAAAGTAACGACTTGTATACGTGATCCGACATGTAAAAACCTACATTTACATTATAAATTACTACGAAGGCTGAGTTCGAACCACAACGTAAATATTTTTAACAAGAACATGCATAGAAGCCGATTTTTATTTGTGTGAAATTCCTTAGGACAAACTTCACTACTTGCATGTGATCAAACGGTGAGGTTATAGAAGAATAGATGCTAAATACTTGTCTCCATTATGTATTGTAATGTAGGTAAAAAATCCATCACAGTTAACTGTATCTACTTAATTTTGCAGAAATATGATGTATTTATCGTCCCCTGAACTTTTGTTTTCAGTTTGGTTCTTTTTCAACAAACTGTGATTTGCCCTTTCAAACAGGTTATTAACTGATTTTGTTTAAGTTAATTATTAGTGTAAAACAGAATGTTTCTGGTTAAGTAGAGAACTTAAACTAGATGGCACTTCATTCGTGATGAAGCACAGTTTGACCAAACTGTGTCCGGCACATAGTACGAATTTAGCTTAAAGTTTGAGTTTTCAGTTAATATTTGATCCCTAACTAATAATTTCTCTGTACCGGAAACATCAACCAATTATTTCCCATAATAATTGACTCCAATAACGATTGTTTACTGTTATTGTATTCGTACACCCATTAACGATTTCCGGCAACTCTTGCACGTTCCAATCACTAAGATTCTAAAGATATAAATTAAGTACATTAAAATATATAGTTTAAGGAAATTATATACCTAATCATTGCTGTTTGCAGAGTGTCTTTAATGCCGCCTTTTTTTTTTTTGTGCAAATTACTTAAAAATTTTATATTGCTTTCAGGCATTCGAAACCATGAACGGCGTTAACGGGATGAACGGACACACAAACGGAGAGCTGAACGGCGTCGGCCGCGGCACATGGACAATAGGCCTCATCAACGTGCAGTACAGGTACCTAACTGCGGAAACGTTCGGCTTTAAGATCAACGCCAACGGCTCCTCGCTGAAGAAGAAGCAGATGTGGACCCTGGAACCGGCACCGGGCGAGACGAACACCGTGTACCTCAGGTCCCACCTGGATAAATATTTGGCGGTGGACAGCTTCGGCAACGTGACCTGCGAGAGCGAGGAGAAGGACCCGGGTTCCAAGTTCCAGATCGTCATCAGCGAAGACGCCAGCGGAAGGTGGGCCTTGAAGAACACCGCGAGAGGTTATTATTTGGGCGCATCATCCGACAAGCTGACCTGCACTGCCAAAGTGCCTTCCAATCCTGAATACTGGCTTGTTCACCTCGCTGCTAGACCTCAGGTATGCCCGATCCCATTTATGTAGTAGTACTATTAGACTTGATGCGTTTGTAATAAATAATTACATAAAATCTAAAACTATTCAGACCTCAGTCAAGTTATCAACTTAATTCTCAATAAACGAACGGCACAGAAAAGGTTTCCTTATGACCACAGTTTTGCTAGTCATTCACCATCTGATGTGCTCCAGCCTTATCCATCTTTCTCGATATTAATTTGATATTTTTTAATGGCGTAGTGTTTTCCAAATAGCCAAACAATCCAGTTACAATGTATCAGAATATTGTTCTGCTGGGAATCGAACCCAGGACCAAAACCCTAAATACTCTTATGTTAGGGAAAGTGCATGAAGTTATATTTTGTAGTTCTTGTACCATCGAATTATCGATTGTGTCTATTTTGATGTCGATGGTAACATATGACATGGATCATACACCGAACATCCACAGTTAATGCTGGGTACCAGCGGATAAGCTAGTCATGGATGATCATATATTTCATCTAGCAACAGTAAAACATCAATATTTCGATACTAAACTGCCCATCAAAAAAACCGACCATCTGGTTTTGCATGTAAAAATGGCCAACTTTGGAAATGCATATTTTCTCAGTCTTTTAAGTCATAGACCTGCCCTAGATCTCATTTTTTAGAAAATTTTACACTGAATACAAATGTTTTCTTAGCTTCAGTCATTCATCAGTAAATTCAAACATTTTTGAACTTTTCACGAAAACTTCAAATTGCGTTGAGGAGCCAGGAAATCGTCTTGGTAGGAACTTTTAATAATCTTTCAATTGATCACTTCCACTTTGCCCGATTTTTCAATTATTCGCGATTTTTGGGCAAAAACGTGGTTTTTACGAGCTCATGGAAAAACAGATCACTTATTAAAATTTCGTATCGATTGCTAAAAGTCGGCGCACTAGGAAAATTTCCTACAAAGGAACGCGGGTAAGTATTTACTTACCAAGTACCATTATAACTTATAATATGTTTTAAATGACAGATAATTTATTTCTTCTGTCTCAATATAAAGTTTTTAAGGCCAACCCCTGAAATTGAATTTGGCTTGCGTTGTGTTGACGTTCAAGTCATCACTTCTTCTTATGAAGTCCATATATAAACTCTGTATCATCAAAAAGTACATGCATTACCCTACCGATGTTGAAACGCGATATTTCCACGTTTAAAACTTTATCTATCTTTGCTAAGACATAGCTGATAGTCTATCTTCTGTCTTATTAAACAAGGCACGTATGGTGTGGGTTTCGGGAAGGGGGGTCAACGCTCAGCTCACAATTCAACTCGAAGGGTTGTAGAATTAAGCCCAGCTCCACGGTGTGATTTATTAAGTAGTGTTAAGCCGGTGCTATAGCAACACCGGGAAGACTGTACAAAAGAAAAACTGGAAGAAGATACTTGAATAATATTCACAATCCATCCGCAAAACATGTATTCTTACAGAAGGATTTGACTTGGCATGTATGGGGATAAAATTTATAATTACAATCCCTTACACTTCAAGAATGCGTCGTTTTTATTGTCAAATATTAATACTATTGATTGGACGTTCTTAACGGTCTACTTGTAAGATTTTTATTGGTCCCATTGTAAAGTTTCCCTCGAAAGTTCATAGTTGATAATTGTTATAAAATCTTTAACAGTTTGTTTATTACTTTTGCACAAAGAATATCAATTTTAAAAATCCTGCACTAGAAAATGTGGAGTGGGGTATAAACAGCATAGTCAGCAGATGTTATGAACATCATTTCATCATCAGCCTTTCGCTGAAATGTTCATGGCTTGACCACTCAGACTTGTTCAGAAATAAACTTAACTTCATGATTTTATTTTTTTTTTTAAGTTTCAATATTAGGTTTGTTCATATGATCTTTGTTGCTTTGCTTTCTTTACCGTAGGGGGGGGGAGAATTAAACTTTACTGAAAACAATATTGTTTATGAGAAAACTATGGGAACTAGGTGTCCTTGAAAGGTTAAGAAGTAGCAACGTTCATAACAGTTATTAGTTATCGAAAAGGTCTATCTTTTCCGAATTTTTAGAACAAATTTACATATCTTCTATTTTTGCCTAAGCGTCAGTAGGTGGACTTATATATTTGAAACCAAATCTGCAAGTTGGATTCTGCTTTGGGCAAATTTTGATTGTTAATTAAACTTAAACACCCTTGTATACTTAAAGTTCATTTTATCGTTCTCTGGTCTTCTTATTTTCTCGCTTAAACTTTAAAAAAATCAGTCATAACTTGGTGTATTGACTTGGTAATGTGTTTAATGTATTCCTTCGAAGTAATATTTTCACCTAAAATCAAAGGAACAAAGTAATAAGGTAGACCCTTGGTAGAAGTGATTTGAACATAAATAAAACTCTTTGGTATATTGAAACGTAGTAATCTTTTAGGTATTGATTTTAGTGTCAGTTTAATAATATGTACTCAAAATAAACTATCCTTAAATAAAATCTTTTCCAGGTGTTGAGATAATGTTTTAAAACGAAACTATTTTAGGAAGAAGATGAATTATACATTTAGACTATGAGTACAGGAAAAAACTAGTCATTTTAAAACTAGTCTCTTGTCAGTTTGTACCTCAAACGCCGACGGCGTTCTAATAGAATCAATTATCGACTTCTTGAGTTAAGTTATTCCATGCAACGCCCCTCCATTGAAGTCAGTTTCAAGATAGCATCAAAGGAAACGTCGTTTTGTATATTGTGTATCCCTTTTCTCAAAGGGGTTAGTTGTTGCCTCTGGCCCCTTCCGTCGGGCACGAACACCAGTCAGAATACTCTCAATTCACCGTTGTCTACAGTGACATAAGATACAAATATTTTCGTTTCTGTTTCAGGTGAACTTGCGCTCCGTCGGCAGGAAGAGGTTCGCTCATCTCTCCGAGAACTTGGACGAGATCCATTTCGACGCGAACATCCCCTGGGGCGAGGACACCCTTTTCACGTTGGAATTCCGCGCTGAAGAAGGAGGCCGCTATGCAATTCACACTTGCAATAACAAGTATCTGTCCAGGGAAGGCAAGCTGGTACCATCGGTCACGCCCAACTGCCTTTTCTCAGCCGAGTACCACACCGGCCAGCTGGCACTCAGGGACTCGGCCGGCAACTATCTTTCGCCGATCGGATCCAAAGCTGTGCTCAAAACTCGCTCCCAGGGTGTCACCAAAGACGAGCTCTTCACATTGGAAGATTCCCTTCCTCAAGCATCATTCATCGCAGCTCTCAACTCGAGATATGTTTCTGTCAAACAAGGTAAGGAGGCTAATTAACAATTAATTTAATTTAATTAATACTAATAAAAGAAGGTATTCTTCTAAAAGTAAGATTCAATATTTCCAGCGTGAATTTCTTGATGACGTCGGCACGCATTAATTATACATATGCACATTGTTAGTACAATAGTTAGATGCTGATCATCGTTGCATGTCCGATACACATGGAGATAGAGTGGTCTTCTCTATCTAGGGAGTGCGCGGGAAACCGGGCTGATGTATTTCGGCCTAGCAGCATACCGTTCGATGCTCGATGCGGACTCAAACACTCGGAATCGCCAAGCGGGGAGCGAGGTTCGTCTTGGCTCCTCGAGCTGGGACAGCTTCTACACCAACGCTGCGGCTGTAACATCCTTCAGTCGTATGCGTAAGTGCGTCAGCTCTCATCTTGAGAATCAAAACGTCCGATAAGGCCTAATCGGCCAGGTGCGGACGTTAAAGATCATCGTTGTCCTTTTATGGACGACCGAGTATTTGGGAACCAATGTCCGCTAGACATAAGATTATTAGAGGTAATGGTGCCATGATGATTGTGGCATTGCGATATCAGTATTGTACTAAAAAATTCTAAATTCTTGCTTCAGCCTTGATAAAATTAATTATAAAGGCAAAAGTGTTGCATTGTTAAGCAAGCAATCATTTAGATTGCACGGTTCATCACTGATATTTTCATTATATCTTCCATTTAACACTTAAACAATACACTAGGAGTGTTTTATCATTTCCAACGTATTTTCCTTACTCGTGAAAAACAAACAGACATGAGAGGGAAATAAATGCTTAATTGAAGTGTGTTCCAAATATACAATTACCATTTAGAACAATCATGGATCAAAGGCCATTACACTAAATGTAATTATAAAAAACCCACAGATAAAACAAGTTCAATTACAAATATATATTATAAAATTGTGATTGTAATCGATATTTAAAAGCATCTAGAAGCAACATCAATAGCAAAACAGATGTTTCAACATTATTTGGGTTCATTGACATCGATGTTAAAATATCTAACATCAACAGTTGATCATACATCGAAAATCAACAACAAAGCGTATGTAGTTGTTATGATACCGTTGGGATATTTTGTCACAGATGGTAAAATATCACATATCAACAGTAAAACATTGATGTTGTGATACTGTCGGGCAACTTGAAATCGATGGTCATATATTACATCAAACATCAATGTTGACGTACTATGAGCAACATGACAACGACGATCATACACTGAATATCCGGTTGTTCAACATCGGTTCATCGAAAATCAACAGAAAAACATACATACCTCGACAACTAACATCAACCACAAAACGTTGGAACTTGATATACTATCGGACATACTTCCATCATCATACATTGAACATCAACAGCAAAACATCGATGTTTCAATGCTATTTGTGCACATTGATAACGACTGTAATACAATTAACATCAAACACCACACAACGGTGTTGAGATACTAACGGGCAATATTACTTCAATGATCATACCCCGAACATTAACAGCAAAAATCAGTGTTGAGATACCACCTGCCAATATGACATCCGTGATTATTGACCGAATATGAAAATAGAAATATAGATGTTCCGATAATATTGCAATTATATTGAGTAGCTCTCGTACCATCGAATTATCGACAGTGACCACCTTGGTACATTTCGTCGGTAAAACATCGAGATTGAGATCAGGCAATTTGATATCGAAGGTCAGACATTTTTTCTATAATATGGCCTTCCTAACAGATTATTTCATAATTCACTACTATCCTTTTATTCTGATGACTTCAATCAAAAACGCACTGCCTTCAGCGATGGTTCCATTACAGATGGTTCCAGGGACGTCAGGGGTGTTGGTGCTGCAAGTATATGTGGAAAAAAGGAAATATTTATTTTCACTAAATCCCCTAGCAAGCAACTACATTGCCGACATGGTATCCATAAATAAATCCCTCAACGTTATCCATCCAGACGAGCAAATAATGGTTATTTGCTCTGACTCCATGGCTGCCCTGCAAACATTTAATCATCCTTTCAGCAAAAACCCTATGGTACAGAATCCGTTGTATTCATTGAGACGTCTTGAGCAGCAAGGGAAAAGAGTATTTTTTTCTCTGGATTCCTGGTCATTCGGGCATTCCTGTCAATGAGAGAGCAGATATGCCAAGGAAGCAGTTGGATATGGAAAACTTGTTGTGGAGGTAAGCAAGGCCTTTAGGCAGAAAATATATTGACAATGGCAAAAAAAACCATGGCATTCAATTATAAACAACCAGCTTCGTGAAATCAAGTCTTCCACACAGGCATGGCCTTCATCATTTAGGTGGAAGAAAATGGAGGAGGTTGTATTGAGAAGGACATAGCCGGACGACCAAGGGTCACTTAATGGCCCGTGACCCTTCGCCTGTATGCGGAGCATGTAATGAAATAATAACAACAAAACATATTTTACTATCATGTCGCATATATCATATGACTTAAGAAAATTTTATTCTCTGCCGAATACTCTTATGAAATATTTGAGGACAAACAAGAAAATATTGCCAAATTATTCAGCTTTTTGACTGCAGCAAATTTAATAAATAAAATATGATCTACTATACTGCAACAAGAATTAAATAAATAAATGAATAAAAAGTAAATGAAATAACTGGCGCGTCGGCCCGGCTGGATTAGAATTTGGATCCCTAGGCCAAAGTTCCGGGCGAAAATTGTTGGGCTTGGTGGTTCCTGTCCCAATAAAAAGTAAAATAAAAAAATATTTTAAAAAAGCAACGTGGCCCAACGCCATCATTAATGCAAATTATCATATACCATGTATTAAATACCATTTACTATATATAACATATTTATACTCAAAGGCAAAAAAATCGGACATCGGAGTATTTTGGTATTTATTTCAAACTGTACGTATTTTTATCGTTATTTAATTTCAACATACTTATGTAAGCCAAATTAAATGAGATCATAAATTCATGAGTTTTAATACAAAATATTTAGTCATGATGGTTTGAATGAAAATTCTCCAAAACCCACAAAACCTTTTAGAGAATGAGTCAAATTTAACTAACATTTCGTTTTACCTAGTTTTGCTTTTAATGCGTTGTTTTGAGCAAAACCAGGTAATAAATTGTTAATTACATTCATTCAATCACTAAATAGGATTCCGGTGTTTTGATAAATTTTCTGTAAAACTATCATAATTAAATAATTTTAATTAAAGTGCATGAATTTTTTATCTCGTTTACGTTAAAATAAGCATGTTTTAATTAATATAACGACAAAAATACATGTAGTTTGAAATAAACAACAAAAGATAAATTGAGTACTCGACGCTACTCGTCGAAAATTGGACAGTGGGGGAACTTGGTTGCATCGCGTAGCATAAAGGAGAATGGTGTAGCGTCGCGTCATGCAAATGTGCACGGGGATATTGCAATTTTATGGAAAATTGGACATCGGATTGGCACAGGGTCACGTCGCGTAGGGTAAGTGCGTTCCCCGCTTTATTCGGTGGATTGGAATCCGCTTCCAGTTGAACTTTCAAAGCTGTCCGTTACCAAAGCGGTTCAGATGTCTCGCTGAATTTTAGTGGAGGGTGATACATGCCCAGTGAACAAACACGTTTACGCATTCCAGTTGTTTATTGTCATCAAAGATAATTAATTGGTTCATGATATCATTCGTTGTTCAACACCTTGAATTTTCCACTAATTTTTGCAACGTCAGGTTTTCTTCATGTTTTTATCATGGTGTGGGGGACCTCGTTTATTGGTGAAAACTAAAATGCTCGAAACGTTCACGTTTAACGGCTTTACCGACCGTTCCGATGGCAATTGAGTAAATGAGTAGGATCGTCATTATGGCATTTCGCACATCTTAGCTTCTTGTCGGACCAGTTAAATTACTTTAATTACTGTCGTATAATAACAAGTGCAACACGATTGGGTCTTCATTTCAAGAAAGTTAACTAGAGTTGACACATGACTGGCCATGTGCTTAACGAACAGACTAACGGTGCCTCGTTGGATTTTTCAGATTGAGCTCACATTCTTGGTGTTATTCAGTGTATTCTGCTGAGTTCGTTCCGATTGTCCTGCTATTTGTCAAGCCATCCTGATTGGTGGAGTAACCTAAATGACAAAATACCACATACAAACTACAAAACAAAGTGTATACTGAAAAGCACATTTTATTTATTATTTATCATCCTACGCATATCTCAGAAATAAATCTACAATCAACCCCCAGCTGCTGGTAATTCTATATTTAATTTCAATTTTAATTCCAGACAAAAAGTTTAATTTTGCTTTCAGCACATTTAGCTGTTATGCTACTCTTCAATTTAAATAGATAGCCGGTCGAACCGTTTATGAAATTAACTTTTTTTAACTAGGCCTAAGATGAAAAATTGATAGTACTTACATAATTGGTATTTAACGTGAAATCTGTCCTATTTCTATTGACAAAATGAAATTGTCTGCTATTTTCAATCAGCCCACATCCGGCATAATAAAAAGGCAATGCACTATTTCATTCGTGGCTGGGTCTTTTTCCATTATGGTGGAGTTAAACGGTTTATGAAATTATTTTAACTAGGCCTAGGAGGAAAAATTGTTAGTACTTACATACTTGCTTTTTAACATGAAATCTGTCCTATTTCGATTGACAAAAGGAAATTGTGTGATAATATCAATCAGTCCACATCCGGCATAATAAAAAAGCCGTGCACTATTTCATTCGTGGCTGAATCGTTTTTCATTATCGTGGAGTTACGTTAACTAGAAAAAAAAACTATTTTTACAAATTTCATTATTTCGTCTTGGTTCAGGATAAACACTACCGAAGACCGCTTAGAACCAAATTTCATCCGGGTTGAAATTCATTTTAAAAAAACAGTACGAACTTTTATGCAATTTGAAATATTCTAGCGTTGTATTTTAAACTATTATATTCTGTCAGAACATTGCAGACGAATTTC